TGCTGTATGTGAAGTAAATCAGCCAGGGTGCTTGAAATGTTTAAATATCTGAAGAACCATCTACTTGGTAGAGTAGAAAGTTACTCCAGTAACAGAGTATTAATGTGGATACAAATCCATGAAAGCATGAGTGGCTATGAATTCTTTCTTCCTGCAAAATGTATTCATATGAAAAAAGAAGTCTTTAATAAAATAAGGGTTGCTCCCTTTGTGCTTGAGCTCTCAGTTTTCCTTCACAGCATTTGCTCTCCACCTTTGTAAATTTTTCATAATCTGTCTCTTCCATTACAATAGAAGCTCCAAAAGGGCAGACAGTGTCTGTTTTGCTTACCCCTCTATGTCGAAAACCTACAATAGTACCTATCCATAGGAGATGTTCAATACATATTTATTGAATGAATGAATGAATGATGTCCACCTGCCAGCTACTCAAAGTCTTGAAGGCTTAATCTATAAAATTTTATCTGTGAAGTGATAAAGCCAAATATAGAGGTGTTACTCTCTTAGCTAGTTTACAAACAAATTTAGGTTGTTTGCAATTTAAACTATTTCAATTATATTTGTGTGTGTGTATACATACATACATATATATATATAGCTTCTTGGACCAGGAACTTTTTTTTTGGATATAGAGTTTTGCTCTGTCATCCAGGCTGGAGTGCAGTGGTGATCACAGTTCACTACAGCCAAGAACTCCCGAGCTCCAGTGATTCTCTTGCCTCAGCCTCCCAAGTAGCTGGGACTACAGGTATGAGCCACCGTGCTCGCCCTGACCAGGAACATTTTATGGGCCAGGGAGAAAGAAAATCCAACCAATTCTGCCACTGAAGATTGCTTTCTTCTTCCTCTTCAACGCTACTGGAGACACTCTACTCTTCTTTATGTCTCTGATTAAGCCAAGGGGGATACTCTTTTACCCTTTTAGTCAAAATCCTTATTTGTCTTTCATTTTCTTCCTACTGCCACTAGAAATGTCTTTTTCTGGTCTTTTCTTCCTAACGTATACACTATCATCATAACAGGGGAGGAGAAGTGGTCACCTTCCAATTGCTAGGGTTGGTGGAGCAAATGTGTTTTTGGCTTTCCATTTTGAATCAAAACTTATTTTCCCAAAGAAAAAAGGAATAAAGTCTGTGCAAAGCATTACTAGCATACTTGACTGAAATTATGAGTGAGTAGGCTTTGATGGAAATCTACATTCATCTTATACCATTACTCCTCTGGAAAAGTTTTGTAAATTCAAAGCAAAACCCGTAAGAGACAGAACTCACATGTTTTCCAGGCAGAATATTTATTGGTAGAGGCTGTTGTTGCATCGAGTTTCCTACCTTGGTGCTGTACTTCCTGTGATATATCCTGACCCTGAGATGACGTGAGTCCACAATAAAATTATAAGCAGGATTCAACTATAAGTGAGATCTGTCAAACACAGCCAACCTCAGGGCCTCATGACATAAAAACAACCATTTCAGGACTGCTCCAAACCCCAACAATTCTATATATTAATTTTTGGTTTCAGATTTTAGAACTAAATCCAATATTTCCTTCCAAATTCATTCCTTACAGTTCAATATATGTAAATATTGTGTAACAGTCTTTTGTAGATCTTTTAGTTGTCTATCACTAAAATACCCTACTATTTGGGAAAGCCTTCATTTTGAATTTGGAGGAACAAGCTCTCTTATTTGTACAATCACCAGAACCTGAAGTATTGTAGATTGTGGACCTTCTGATTTACAGAGGGGACACTTGTCCCCCAGTGCAAATAGTTTGTAGTGCTCTCAAGTTTGTTTTTCTTGACTAAACAATTATCTTTTGGCTTCAGAAAGAATAGATCTGATTAAAGTGTTAAAACAAGTGCTTTTGCCACAAATATACCATATATGAATACTTCAGGAATAACTGCCATTTGATGCAACATTGCTGTCAATGATGTGAATTTTAATAAAATCTCATTGGTGTGGTTTATGAATAAGTCACTATTTTCATTGGCTTTTTAATTTTTCTATAGTTTTTAATGTTTTTCTAGACCAAGGATATTTTAATTCATAAGATAAGTTGTAACAGTGTTTCTTTTTTTCTTCTTTCAACCTAATATTCTAGAACACATCTACAGACCTCATGATTCTCTTCAAATGCTCCTACTTTTGCTAGGTACTTGATTTGGGATCTTATCATTTATGTAAGCATATCCAATTCAATTGATTCAGTTCAGTAAGTGGTTTCTGATTTGCTGTGACTGTGGTTCCATTAAGAGCTCCTTCAAGACAGTATGCCTGAAGGAGCTTACAGAATTATTGGGAAACAATACCCATGAAAAAAGAGCAAACAATATTATGTTATATTATATTAGGAAGAGCAATGGATCATGAATGAAATGCAGAGAGTTTTCCATTTCTCCAGTTATCTTTTGTTTTAAGAAAGAGATCTAAATTTATGTGCTTCCATTTCTTAAAATAGAAATAAGTTTGCATTAGATGATCAAGAAGACTTTTTAAAGCTCTAGTATTCCATTACTTGGGAACGACCTCTCACATGTTGCATTTGCTAAGGATAATACATTTTTACACTTGCCCGTTCACTAATAAAAATATAACCAGGAAGTTGATTCTGATGATCTAAAACAAAAATTGTTATGTCAAATGCTATTTTAAGTATCTTCTTTTGGATTATTAATATAACTGAAACTAAATAGTAGTCTAAGCATTAAATCTATAAACTTAACAGATAATCAGTAGAAAAAAA